CTTCTAATTTAATCACATTGCTGTAAGAGAAGAAAAAAAGATTTACAGTCTGAGAAAGCCCAGAGAGCAGCTCTTCTCTGTCCTAAAGGGTCGCCATGAGTTGGAATAGACTCACTAGCAGTGAGGGTGTTTTTGTTTTTGATGGTTTATGGTTCACTGCAAACGAAAACGAAATGTTTTATCCCTTATCTTCCTAGTGGTGCTATCCTGAAATTCCCTACTCTCTCGGGGGGAGGGGTTCACCAGTACACTCTTTTTCTTTTTTTTTTTAAGATATTAAGATATTATTGCAAATTGAGTGAAAGTTTAAAGTGCAGATCATCAGTTTTACGTTCAACAAATCATATACTTTGTTTCATTACAATGATTATAATCCCCTCCATGTACTATCAGTTACCAGTATTTCTCTCTATTCATTTTAGCTTTTTTTGTTGTTTTTAAAACATCAGGCATATATAATAATTTAAATCACCAAAGGGCACATTCTGCTCACCAGTGCTCTCTTAAAGAATTTCTGTGTGTATTTTAAATGGTCTTACAACTTGTGTGTATTTAACCCTCCCTCACACCCCAGGGTTCTATCATTTGCTGCAGTGTGTCACTGAACTCTCAAGATATTATAGCTCATGAGGTTGTGGATGCTGGCAAGTCCCAAATTTGGTAGTTAGACATCAGTCTGGAGAATTTTCCTTACCCCATGGATGCAGGGGGTGAGGAACCCAAATCGGCATGTCAGAGGCCAGGTCAGACAGCAGCCTGGTGAATCAGGTTAGGGCTAGGCCACAAGTCCCAAGAACTGGAGGTCAGACAGAAACAAGCCAGATGCAAGATTCCAAGCAAGACAGTGAATTTTGCCTAAGTATTCCTATATATTGGATACAGACCATACTGAAACTAAGGGTGATGACTTGAGTCACTCCTTCTAGTAAGGTGGAGGCATCCTGAATCCCACCTTAATCCTGTCTCATTAACGTAACAGATAACTCACTCCCAAATGCAACCATAGCCAACCCACGGCCATGGAGTTAAGCGACCCTGTATATATAGGGTTTCCAAGGCTATACAGCTTTTTGGAACAGAAAGCCTCATCTCTCTCCCATAGTGTGGTTGGGGGATTTGAACTGCCAACCTTAGATTAGCAGTCCAGCACTTATCCTACCGCACCACCAGGGCTTCTTCCACATAACCACAGACATTTGTTGTTGTTGATAAATGCCATCAAGTCAATTTGTACTCACAGTGGCCCTGTATAGGGTTTCCGAGGAGCAGCTTAACGTTTGAACCAGTGACTTTATGGTTAGCAGCCCAGTACATATCCTACAGCACCATACCAGGAATTACAATGCATCACAAAATGAAGGTATAGGCCTAGAAAGGCCATATTAAGTAATTAACTAAACTTAAGATCTTCATTAATAAGTACTTCATGTTCTCTTCACTTTCAGAAAACTAGGTTGCATCATTTGCATATTGCATGCTAATGATTCCTTCTCTAATCCTGATGCTGTGTTCTTAATATAGTCAGGATTACTTGCTCAGCATACAAATTAAATAAATATGGTAAAGGATACAACCCTGATACATACCTTTCCTGGTTTTAAACCATGCAGTATTCCTTTGTTCTGTTAGAAAGACTGCTTCTTGAACTACTTACAGGTTCGCATGAGCATAATTCAGTGTTACGAAATAAAGTGTTCCCGCTCTTGCATAATAAAGATCATAATTTGCTATGATCTGCACAGTTGAATGCACATGTAAACATCTGCCTGGTACTCTCTGCTTTCAGCCAAGATTCATCTGATATCATCAGTGATATCTCTCGTTCCTTGTCCTCTTCTGAATCCAATTTGAATTTCTGACAGCTTTTTGTCAGTGCACTGCTGCCACCACTTTTGAATAATCTTCAGCATAATTTTACTTACATGTGAAATTAATAATATAGTTTGAGAATTTCCACATTGTGTTGGGTCACCTTTCTTCGGAATAAGCATGAATACAGATCCATTGCAATCAGCAGTAACATTGCTCCTTAGCTGTGCTGTGTGATCAGCACTGTGGAATCAGCATTGGACTGCGAACAACAGGGTCAGCAATTCAAACCCACCAGCTGCTCCTCAGAAACCCTATACAGGGTCGCTATGAGTTGGAACCGACTGGACAGCACTTAACAACAACAAGAATAGTCTTTACAAGAGCAGAACGCCATTTGTTCTCCTGTGGGTTCGCCGATGACTTCGAACTACCAACCTTTCTTTAGCAACTGAGCACTGAACCACTGTGCCACAAGGGTACCTCAATTTAATATAATTGAGAATAATAAAACACTTTAGATAGCCAATGAAAACCCTGTGGATCGAATCTGATTTCGCGTGTAATGGCCATGAGTTGGGGGGGACTCCACAGCAGTTAAAAAACAAAGACTACATATCCTTTGCTGTTATTTTCAAATCAAGTTGATTCCAATTCATGGTGACCTTCTATGTAGGGTGTCTAAAAATAAATCTTTATAGGAGCAGAAATAACCATAGAGATGAATTTCTGCGAAGAACCTTATTTAATGGAAAACTGCCAGAAATACAACTCTCCCTGCATGGGGCAGGAATTCACCTGATGACACTCTATAGTGCCTGGATAGGCTTCAAGATTGAACTTCCGGTGGAATCCGGAAGTGGAGGTGCAGGGGAAGGGAACTCACCTCTGTTTTGCAGAGCAATGGTTTCAAAGAAGTGTAGGTTGGGATGCTGTCTCTGCTGGAATTATTGGATAGGTGGGAGAGATGTGGGTGGGCTGCTGAGCTGGGGGGAGGGAAACGGCAGCTGTTAGTGTAGATGCATAGATGTTGTGTTGTTATGTGCCAGTAGGGTTTCTGAGGAGCATTGGGTGGGTTTGTTTTGTAGTCCAGTGCGGATCCTACAGGGCCACAGCTGCTCATAAGTTAGGGTTGTGTGTCACACAGGTATACCACTTGTTTCCTGAGATCACACCTTCAAAAAGCCCATTTCTATCTCCCACAAAAAGAAACATCAGAACTGGCTTTCTTTTGTCCTTAGGACCATATTGCACAAGCCAGTTTCCTTTAACTAACTCTTGTTGTTAAGTGCCATCGAATTGATTCCGTCCCATAGCAACCCTGTATAAGGTTTCTGAGGAGTGGCTGGTGAGCTTGAACCACCAACCTTGCTATTCAAGCAACTTTGCTGTCCAGCGCATTAACCCACAGTGCCACACCAGGACTCCTCCTTTAACTATGGTCATGTAGCATCTGAAGACTCTTACTAAGATGAGAGTTCTTAAAACCAACAAACAAAAAGTACAAATCATAGAGATTTTATCTTTGCTGATACTTGGCCATTCTTTGTGTTCAAAATTATCATAAATATTCTTTTAACCAGTTATTTAGCATCCTTTTGTTTGTCTCTCATGAGAGAGTTTGTTGGTATTACTATTTTTGCCCTTACGTTTTCTTTAGAACATGGCGTTAATGAGGGGCTTGTTGTTGTTGTTGTTGTTGTTAGTCAAGTTGGTTCTGACCCATAGGGACCCTTATAGGGTTTCCGGGGAGCAGCTGGTGAGCTTGAACCACCGATTTTGCAGTCTGGCTCATTAGCCCACAGCGCCACACCAGAACTCATAATGAGGGGCAGAGTACTTATTTACACCTGAATTTTATGTTTCTGCTACTGAAAGCATCAGCTGGAAGCTTATTAGAAATACAGATTCTCAGATTCTGGGACCTCACCTCAAACTCACTGAATCAGAATCTGCATTCTAACAAGATTCCATTTTAAAGTTTGAGAAGCACCATTCTGAACAATGTGCAATTTAATTTATTTATTCACTGTTTTATAGAATATAAACACTGTAAATGGATAAATTGATTCATGTACTTGTATTATCCACTATTCCTAGAAATAGACTGCTGAAAGTCACACTGTGATTCAACAAATATTGTATGTCAGACCCTTTATTATAAAAAAAAAAAGTCCACAGTCCTGGAGTCAATTCCAATTCATAGTGACCCTTCCTACGGTTTCTGAGACTGTAAATCTTTATGGGAGGAGATAGTCTCATCTTTCTCCCACAGAGTTACTGGTGGACTTAACAGCCAGCCTTCTAGTTAGCAGTGTGCCTAACCCACATCACCACCAGGGCTCTGAGATTTTTCATAACCTTCATTTTTTGTAATATCCCTGGGCAGTGACACCGATTATGCACTTGGTAGGTAAAGGGTTGCAAGGAGCTCTGGTAGCATAGTGGTTACAAATCGGGCTGTGAACCTCAAGGTCAGCCATTCGAAACTACCAGCTGTTCCACAGGAGAAAGATGAGGCTTTCTGCTCCCCTAAAGATTTACAGCCTCAGAAACCCTATACAGGGTCGCTGTGAGTTGGAACTGAATCCATGGCACATAACAACAATAACAGGTAAAGGGTTGCAGTTCAAACCTACCCTGCGGAGCCTCAGAAGATAGGCCTGGTGGTTTGCTTCTGAAGGCTTATTATTGGTTGTTGTTGTGATGTGCCGTCGAGTGGGTTCCGACCCATTGCTACCCTGATAGCTACCCTATATAGGGTTTCCAAGGAACAGCTGGTGAGCTTGAACCACCAACCTTGCAGTTCAAACGACTTTGTGGTCTGACACATTAACCCACAGCACCGCACCAGGACTCCATACAGCCTTGATAACCCTGTGGGACACAGGTCTATGGTACACATGGGACCACCATGAGATGGAATCAATTTAATAGCAACTAATAACAATGATGATGCTTGCTAAGTACCATCCAGTCAATTCCAACTCGTAGAGACTATGTATAGGGTCTCTGAGGAGTGGCTGGCAGGTTTGAACCAACCTTGTAGCTAGCAATCCAATGCTTATCCTACAGCCCCACACCAGGACTCCAATTACAATGATGTATCAGTTGTAGTAAAAATTACTTATGGATTCTCCTTCTCTCCCTTATTTTAAAACTCAGTCGCATCATCATCCTTGAAGACATCCCATTATTGTTCCACTGGCCTTTCCCTCGGTACTAAGACCCCTGGAGCTGAGTATGTCAACAGCTGCCTTGATTACTTTGGCTAGAAGTGGTGGTAACCAGGTGAGAAGAGTGCTGCTCAGTTCCCGCCTGCTACAGGACGACCGGCGGGTGACACCCACGTGCCACAGTTCCACCTCAGAGCCCAGGTGTTCTCGGTTTGACCCAGACGGTAGTGGTCGTCCAGCCACCTGGGACAGTTTTGGAATCTGGGATAACCGCATTGATGAGCCAATTCACCTGCCACCCAGCATTAAGTATGGCAAACCAATTCCCAAAATCAGCTTGGGAAACGTGGGCTGTGCCTCACAGCTTGGCAAACGGAAAGAGAATGAAGACCGTTTTGACTTTGCTCAGTTAACCGAGGAGGTGCTATACTTTGCAGTGTATGATGGACATGGGGGACCTGCAGCCGCTGATTTCTGTCACACCCACATGGAGAAATGCATTATGTACGTACAGTGACTTCCACTCTAGACTTTACAGTTTGCTTTATGTTATAAACTTTTAACTTTGGGGCTTCCAAACATGGTTGAGTGGTTTCCTGCTACCTCTTCATGAGTGAGCTGTAGCTTAAAGATGCCATTTTCTTAATGTTACTGAGGATAAAAGAGAAGCAGCTTTAATTTGCAATGACTATTTCAGAAATGTGCCTTTTTAACAACTCCACTGTTGAAAGTATGGAGCAGAATTTATAGCACTTGAGTTGTGTTTATTTTAAACAACTTAACATAAAGTACATGAGAAGCATTTAATCTTATGAGTGCATGACGCATAGTGTTTCCATAAATGGTGTGAATAGTTTGACTGCTTGACTTTGGAGCTTGGCATTAGGATGGAGATACGCATTTGATGCAGATGTTTTGCTGTAAATAGCTTGTTTACTCCAGTTATCACACTGCTGCTAGAATTCAGAGGGGGAAACATGACAGAGTTAGATCAGGTGAGCCTTTCTTGTCTTCCTGGGTATAGTGATTTATGTTGTTGTTGTGTGCCGTTGAGTCAATTCCAACTTAAAAGGACCCAGTATGGCCGAGTTCAACTGCCTCATTGGGTTTCTTAAGTTGAAATCTTTATGGAAGCACACTGATAGGTCTTTTCTCCTGCTGAACCGCTGGTGAATTTGAAACACTGACCTTTAAGTTAGCAGCAGAGTGTTTCATCATTGCACGAAGAATCTTTTGTACTGTTTTATCAATTGATTTACGTATTGTCACCACATTCCACAAAAGAACACAGTGGTTTGATTTAATATTCAGAAAGCCTTGACCTCCCCATGTTGTCATAGTGATTATGATGGAGATTTAGATTTTATTTTTGTGCCCTTTAAGGCTTATTATGGCATTGGTGGCTCAGTGGTAGAATTCCTACCTTTCATGGGTACCTCATGCACAGCCACCACTTGGCTGTCAGTAAAAGCTTTTATGCTACTATGATGCTGACTATGTTTCAGCAGAGCCAGACTAAGACAAAGTAGGACGAAAGGTCTGGCAATCTACTCCTGAAAATCAGTCAAAGAAAACCCATAAGATCGTAAGAGTCTGATCGGAAGGCAATCATGGGGATGATGTGGGATCAGGCCACGTTTAGTTCCATTATGCATGGGGGCATCATGATTCGAATGCAGCTAACAACATCCTCAAAGGCTTATCATAGCCCGTGATAGGTGTTCAGTACCAAAATCCAAACCAAACCCACTGACACGAGTCGATTCTGACTTCTATTGTTGTTAAGTGCCATCAAGTCAGTTCTGACTTATAGCGATGCTATATTGCAGGGGTAGGGAAACTTTTTTCTTCTAAGAGTCATTTGGATATTTATAACATAATTCGTGGGCCATACAAATTATCAACTTAAAAATTAGCCTGTTATATTTGGTCAAGCATTTAATTATTGTTGTTGTTGTTGTTGTTAAGTGCTTGTATACATTTTCCAAGGAGCGGCTGGTGAATTTGAACCACCAACCTTGTGGTTCAAACCAACCTTACCATCAGTCAAGTGTTTATCCTACAGTGTCACATCAGTACTTCATGGTGGTGGTGTGCCGTGGAGTCGGTTCTGACTCATAGCAACCCTGCACAGGGTTTCCGAGGCTGTAAATCTCTATGGGAACAGGAAGCCTTTCTCCCACTGAACGGCTGGTAGTATCAAACTGCTGACGCTGCCAGAGCTCGAGCTCCTTCAGGACTTCATTTGTTATGTGCCATGGAGTTGGTTCTGACACATAGTGACCCTGCACAGGGATTCCGAGGCAGAACACCTCATCTTGCTCCTGCAGAACAGCTGGTAGTTTTGAACTGCTGATCTTGTGGTTCGCAGCCTGATTCATAATCACTACACTACCAGAGCTCCTTCATAGTGACCCTATAGTAGAGTTTCCAGGAGGGGATAGTTGGTTTAAACCACAGACCTTGGGGTTAGTAACCCAATGTTTAACTCCCAACACCACCAGGGCTCCTTAAGTGTTCAGTGAATAGTTTTGATCAGTGGGTCTTAAGCACTTGAAAGGAAAGCCAAGGTCTTCAGATTGTGTGAAATAGCTCATCTAGATAAAAGTTACAATGAGAAAGATGAAAAATCCATTGTAAAATGATTGGGGCTCTTTTTTATTTCCCACAAAGGGATTTGCTTCCTAAGGAGAAGAACTTGGAAACTCTGTTGACTATGGCTTTTCTAGAAATAGATAAAGCTTTTTCGAGGCACGCCCAACTGTCTGCTGACGGTATGTACAACAGTCACGTTTCTTAAGGTCCTTGGGAATGGTGGAGTAAAAACGAAATAACTTAAGTCCTTTGGGGGTGGGAATTTAATGCATGCTTAACTGTAAGGATGCTTACATAGCAAATTATTTCATATGAAGAATCACTTTAAATGTTTTCTTTGGAATCCAAATTGATGTCTGTACTTCACTTTTAAAATGAAATATATGTTAGAGAATTGTTTCCAAAAGATAAGCTCCAACACCATTCTTCATTAAACTAGTTTACTGTGGTATTGGATATAATTTTAAAAGGATTTAAAGGAAAAATTAACCTGCTCTAGCACTTGTTTTAGTGGGCATGATGACCATATGTTGAGAGAGTTTATTTTTATAAGCAGATGAATCTACTGAGAAAGTCTTGAAATAAAACTACGTGCTTATCATATGCAGATAGTACAGGAATTACACAGACTGGTAGAAAATGCTAATGGGTCCTAAATAGAGAAGGTCAATGGCTAATATTCATTGATTGCAGTTAGATGGAAGATATTTTTCCTCAGAAATACTTTGGCCTTAGAGATATCTGTTAACTAACCATACTTTTGCTTCATATCTTACACATAAGGGTATGCTAGCTGAATTTAAAAATTGTTATTCTGTATGTCCTTACATTTTGAAAGTAAATGTTTCTGACTTTTACTAAATTTCTCAGAACAATTTCAGGAAAATGGACCTCATGTTTTCTGGTTAATCTTTAAAATTTCTGCAGCAGCCATATGAGTGTATGCATTTTAGACCTCATAACTGATTTGAAAAGGAATCACCATACAGTTGTATTAATTTGATTCATCCTTTTCTTTAAGAGAGGCCAAAGAGAACCACAAAAATGTCATTTTCACAATTTTCTGTTGGAGTGGATAGCAATGGAAATACTTTCCATTTCCCAGATAAGAAACCGAACCTCTAAAAGAGGTAATTGTCAGTGACAGAGTTACAGCTGGGATTTTTTGACACCCAATGTAGTCACTCCAGGAGTCCTGGTGTGGCACTGTGGGTTAATGCTCTGGACTATAAGGTCAGTGGTTCAAGCCCACCAGCCACGCCTCAGAAACCCTATACAGGCTCGCTATGGATTGGAACTGATTTGAAGGCACTTATAACAACATGTAGTCTCTTCTGTTGTTGTTGTTGCTGTTGTTATGTGCCGTGGAGTCAATTCTGACTCATAGTGACCCTGTACAGGGTTCCGAGGCTGTAAATCTTTACAGGAGCATAAAGCCTCATTTTTCTCCTGTGGAACAGCTGGTAGTTTCAAACTGCTGACCCTGAGGTTAGCAGCCCGATTCGTAACCACTACACTACTTACTGGTGTATTTAATTAAGTAGATCAGAGAAGGAAACTGGGATGGCTAGTTTTGCCATCTTGAAAGTTTTCCTGCTCTTCACTCCTCAGAAAAGCATTACAGCTAACTCTCCCTCTGTTGAGGGGCTTATTTCTAATTTATTCCATCATTCAGGCCCATTATCTCTTCTTCATTCCTGTGGATTTTTTTTCCCCCTTTCAGCTGGCCCCTTACTTTAAAAAAAAAGTAGGGTTGGGGGCAGGGGTTATGCATAAGATTTAACTCTTGTTTCTAAAACAAAACACATAAAGGAAAAGAGGAAATAAAAATGCCTTCATATATATATATATATGTGTGTGTTTTTTTATAACTTTCTGAATTTTGATATGCTCTTTATTTCATTCATAACCAGGTTGCTATGAGTTTGGCTGTATCTCACGCCATGTTAGGTACATTATAGTACCCGTAGTGTGCTAACAGCCACTTTGTAAACAGCTGCATCTTTCTTTTCAGAAGAGTCTATTCAGGTTTATCAAGGACATATGGCCAGAAACCAAGAGCATTAGCATTAGCCCTTAAAGGTGCAATCAGTCCTTTTGGAAGAATCTAATAGACCCAGATACTTAAATCAGTGGTAGGAGCCATATAAAATAGGAGAGGATGGCCATTATTTATTAAGTAGTAAATTATCATTGAAGATCATTATGAACGTAGGAGGAAATGTATTTTACTTGCCTACCTTGAAAGATACTTTCGAAAGATACCTTTGTCACATAAACAACTAGACAGTTGTGCAGAGAAGTTACTCATAAATTTCAATTCATTTCCAATAATGAAATTAAAATATATTTAATTTCTCTGTCATATGTTTTGAAGTAATGATCCTAGAACTTTTATAAGACATTCAAAAATACTTTTCACTTAGTGGCCTTCGTTGGTGAACATAATGGAGCAAAACAGAATGGTGCTTCGTGAGCTATTGAAAGTCAGAAAGCCTTTTATGACATTGTTATTGGTAAATCTTAACGTGTACATATTCTTATAGATCAGTTAGCGTATGACTTTTGTTGTTCTTACTGTTTTGAGAAATATTTTTAAATAAGTTATTAAAGCTTTTAATAGATGGCAAAACTTTCCTTTTGTTATTTGGGACTTATTTTATCAATTATATTAAAGCAATTAAAAATAAAGTTATACTATTTAACTTTTTAATTTCTGGATTAAAATGAAAATGTATGCCATTTTTGATTTTCTAGTTATTATCCAAATTTTAAATCATTTCTTTTTCCCCTTAATTTTTAGTAAGAACTGAAGCAGTATCAGTATTCTTAAAAGTGGATAATATCCTTTTAGGTACATAGCTGTATGTTGGACCAATGCTAGATAAACAAAATCATGAATAAGTGCAGTTTGCCCTCTCCAGATTCCTTCTACCTTTTCTTTTCTAGTATCATCCCTATTTTTCTTCCTATTGAATCTATCCAGTGAGTCCCGTTAACATACTGGATTGCAAGCTAGGCTGCTAACTGCAAGATCAACAGTTCGAAGCTACCATTTGCTCCACAGAGAAAGGCAAGGTTTTCTGCTCCCATAAAGATTTACAGCCTCAGAGACCCTATACAGGATTGCTGTAAGTCGAAACTGACTCGCTAGCACACAACCACCAACCAGTGAACACTTTGAGGGTAGGGACCGCCATACCTTATTTATTTTTGAATGTCCAGTGTTCAACATCCTGCATGGAATCAGAAACGTGCTCAATAATCAGTAATTATTTGGACTGAAGAGATCTCCACTGCAGTTATTTTAGTGAATTGGCATTCCTGAATGAATTTGAATTTAGGGAACAGAACTATGAAAAGAGAGTGACTGAACCATATTTATGACTCACTAATGTTGAAATATCAGGTCTATATGGTCGGAGTAAGGAGCCCTGTTACCATAGTGGATTGTGGCTGGGCTGCTAACAGCAAGGTCAGCAGTGCAAAACTACCAGTAGCTCCAAGGGAGAAAGGTGAGCCTTTCTGCTCCCATAAAGATTTACAGCCTCAGAAACCCTATACAGGGTTGCTATGAGTCAGAACTGACTCGATGGCACTTAACAGCAATGGTGGGAATACCCTTCAATCGTACCATATTTTCTAAAGAGAAATAATAAAAGTGAAATTAAAAAGTTTTTTATTCTCTCGAGACTGTAGTTCCAAAATCTTGCATCTGCTTAAAACATTTCAGATGGTCTCATTAGCAGTGAAAATATCCACAATTTCAATTTAAGCCCCTGAGTAGTGCAAGTGATTCAGCTATCTGATTACTAGCCAAAAGGTTGGTAGTTTGAACCTGCCTGTAGGTACCTCCTAAGAGCTCTGTTAGCGTGGTGGTTACGAATTGGGCTGTGAACTGCAAGGTCAGCAGTTCAAAACTACCAGCTGCTCCATGGGAGAAAAATGAGGCTTTCTGCTCCCGTAAAGATTTACAGCCTTGGAAGCCCTGTTCAGGGTCGCCATGGATTGGAACTAACTCGATGGCATTAACTACAACAAAATAGGTATCTCAGTAGACAGGCCAGGGGATCTGCTTCCAAAAGGTCAAAGCCTTGGAAATTGTGGAGCAGTTCTACTCTACACACGTGGTGTTGCCATGAGTCAGAAATGACTCAAGGTGACTCATAAAAGCATATCAAATTAACCCTGTAGTAATTTGAAGTCAAACCAAGTTAGAATGCCACTTAAAATATATAGCAAGAAAAAGGCCACCTTCGTGTTCTTTAGAAATTGCCAGTTATTTTTATTGTTTGGTGATTCATGGAGTTTGAATTTGCCTTGATTTATAAATAGCTAGTGTCATTACCATCTCTGAATTTTTTTCTATTCAGTTTATATTCATAATGTATATTTTTGCAATGAATGAAACTAATAAATCCAAAGATAGCCCATTAATTATGCCATCATTTATTTAAAATTTTTTTTAAATCACTTTAAATAAAAACAGGTGGTAGAAAACTTAGATCATAATCCCGTATGTCCTATGACCTCTTCAAAGTGTTTTTGGATTGCTTAAATTTTGAAAGCAGCAAGAGGTGGAAGGATATGAAAGATAAAACTTGCTTTGCCATTCAGAGTAGGAGATGTTTACGACAGTGTTATGTGTCTCATCGGAAACTTTCAATACTCTTTTCATATTATGTGATTTCTTCATGGAAGAAGTTATCTAAAAAATAACAGTGTTATAGATGCAACATTTTGAAAACCATTTTTATGCTAGAGGTAGACAAAAGAAAAAATAGAGAGAGAGAGCATTTGAAGAGATAATTGCTGTTACTGCTTCAGCTCATTACTTTGATGTTGGAGTTCATAAGTCTGCCTAGAACACCTATGTTTTGGGGTTTTTTTAAATAACTATTGAATCTGTGTTGGTTTATACATCTTCCTACTTAAAATAGGATATTACCAGAGCTCGTTACACTTTGAAAAGTATATTTTATGTTACATTCAAAAGCTTGATCATTATTCTTTTGATGTGTCTACCTGCAACACTGGAGGAAAGAGAGAGCTGCAGAAGAGCCCATTTTATGAATCATGAAATTATAAACATGCTTTAGCGCTCAAGAGCCTCGCTAGCCTTTATGTAAACAGTACATTTCAATAAATCATTCTACTCAAAAAATGCCTTCTAGGTACAAAATTCCTGCACCAAGCACTGCTAACAAATGTGTTACTCCTTGTATCTGGTAAAAGAGATGCTTTGATTCCTTCTCAGTATTTAATTAAATTCCAGTAATTTGGTGGTATACTGTTGTTGACATCATGTATAAATATGTACTGCTTATCAGATATTAATTATTCAGTGAATTTTCCCTCTCGTTACTGGGGCAATTCTGATATTGTTACCAAACAAATTTATAATGCCTTTTTTGCAACTCTAATAACGTCGAGTCTAAGTGAGTGTGTGTGTATGTATGTGGGTGTGAGTGACCCCACATACATAAATAATGTGTTCTGGTGTGGATGCCTGTGAATATTTTTTCTTCTTCTTCCTTAAGAAGCCATAAAACTAAGAATGAAATGTTTCTCTGTAACGAGGGGGAAAAACAAAGGCTCAACTACAACTAACCATGAACTGAACCAATGGACTTTGGAATCACTGATTTGGCATCTTCTGGAATATGATGTCATTTGCTAGTGAAATTTTCACCAGAATAAAAACCCTTCCCCTTACTTTGCAGCTCTTTCTCTGTCCTCCCCTGTGTTGCAGGTGTGTAATGTTTGAGCACAATTCCTGGGTGAATTTCCTATTTGCCTCTGTGCGTGTTATTTGTGGCAGAGAACTGTGCCTGGTCAGCACCTCTAGATCTGGAGCCCGTGGACACTATATGCTGGGCTTCAGTGGAAAGAGAGATCTGCTTAATTTTGTCCCAGGTGAAGGAGTCCAGCGGTTCCTAGCATGGACTACTGGAAGGTTCCCACATCCTCTTTGTCCCATTAGTTGAGATGACTTGGCAGTAGAAATTGTCCAGTGAGTGTTAAGAACTTATTGAAAGATGTCTTAGTTTTATAGTTTTGTTGCTAGGGAAAAAAAAATTTAAAGTGAGACTTTTTACTTCCATATTAAATGTTAAATGGAAATAAATGCTGATTTAATATATATATTCGTAGATGCTTAGCAAACTAGAAACAAGAGTTAGTTTTGAAAACTTTCCCATAAATCCTGGGATTTTGGAACTGTGTAGTTGAGTTGGTTCAAAACTCAAGTACTTTTTAAAAATTTCTGGGTGACAGGGCCATGAGTTATAAGACTAAACAGCTAAATTTGAAATGCCTATTTATGATATTCTAACTCTTAACTAATTAAGAACAGCTTTTTAAAAGATAACTGTTGCCATGTAGTTTAAACCAAGGGGAAGAATACCATTAACCCTGGATAGATAGCATCTAAATATATGCCTTTATTCTTGTATGTGGCCCTTTAAGTCACAGTTGTGAAACTGTAAGAATCCTATTATATAGTTGGTTTGGGAAACCTAAGTTAACTCTTTCAATTGATCATCTAAGTTAGAATAAAAATAAACATTTATAACATAAACATCACTGAAATCTATGTTAAAACATTTATGACAAATATATATGATATTTTAGCATTGTATAGATATTATTTCTTTGGTATAACGGTTCCAAAATCAAGAGGTAAATGGAAAGATAGGACAACTATAAATGCTTTTCCTCAATAAAGTAAATTCAGCATCTATATAGGAGGTTAAGCAGGATTTATTCATGTTTTCTCATTTTATTTTTCTGATTAAAGCAGGTATTTTAACATTAATTGGAAAAATGTTTTATATATATATATATATTCAAAATTACTGACTTTTTTTAGGTGAAAATTTTAAAAAATCTTTAATAAAAAATAAAGAACAAACAGGAAAGATTAAGCCTCAATCAGCCAAATTGATAGCTTCATTTTTCCGTAAAAGGAATTTTGAAGTCAAAATCATCTTTGACGATCAAGTGAATATTTTGTTTAGATGCTTTAAAGAATTAATGATGCTTCAGGAGATAATACCTGCTTTAAATAAATTCTTTTCATTTCTTCCAATTTTGCTTTACTTTTAGCTCATAATTTCACAGTGTGCTCACTTTCTGGCAAGGCTCAATGCATTAAAAAAAATTTTTAACCAGTGGCAAAGAATGTAGGACAGACACATTTAGAATAAATCAATGAAGGTGTAAAATACGCGTAGAGGAAATAGTGGTAACCTCGAGCCCAGTAACACTGAATTTTCTTATTAGCGAAAATGAATATTCTTGGAATGCTCTCGGTCTAGGGAGGACTACAGCAGTAGGACTTGGCAGTACTCTACTGACTTTGGATACACACTGTATTCGATTCTTCTGGAACAAAGAGTTAAACTACACCAAGTTATGGGAAATTAGAATGACTCATTCCTATCCTCAACATTTTCTGCTAACAAAATGATGTCTGTAACTTTATTTCATGGTTGGGGAGCACAAAGATAAACAGGAAAGAATATAAGTCTTTAGCCATTTTAGGAATTTTTTTTTTCTTTTTTTTTTGAACATTTGTCAAAGTAAAACAGTTATTTTAGGGAACGGATGCTATGGTAGCGCTGTAGAATAAGCACTGGACTGGGAACCATACAGTCAGTGGTTCAAGCCCACCAGCCAATCCTTAGTAGAAAGATGAGGCTTTCTGGTCATGCAAAGATTTATAGCCTTGAAAACCCTATACAAGGGAGTCAGAACCAACTCAATGACTCTTAACATTGTTGTTGTTGTTGTGAAGTGCCTTCGAGTCGGTTCTGACCCATAGCGACCCTGTACAGGGTTTCCAAGGGTGTAAATCCTTACAGAAGTAGAAAGCCTCATCTTTCTCCCGCGGAGCGGCTGGTAGTTTCGAACCACTTACCTTAAGGTTCGCAGCCCGATTCGTAACCACTACGCTACCAGAAGAATATTAGAATATTTTATACTTGAAGCATGAATGAAATGCCCTGGCACATCTTGTGTAGCCTACTAACCGATAATACAAAGAAGTTTCACAAAGTTTGTAGGGAAATGAAATGGAAAGATAATGGAATTTTTCCATGAACTTTTTTTAAGCTCTCTCATTCTTTCACAGAATGAGAGTAGGAAATAGATAGGAAAGCTTTCTTGTTATAGAAAAGTCTGGTTGGCCGAAGGAGCACAGTAGACCTAGGCCATCCTGCCTTGTTAGCCAATCTAATTACGTTTTAATACTTTTAGCCCTGATACCCCGTGAACATTCAAGTCAGCTCTACTTTTTATAAATAAGATGCCACTTGGAAATGGTGATGCATTGTTCAAAGTAGATTAGCAAGTTTTTCTGTTTGCATGGAGCCTTGTTTGTTACTGAATTAAGTATTTCTTTCTTTGCATGCTCTTCCTTTCATTAGTTCATTTGCATAGCTCTAGTTAAGTTAGAATGATGCACTTCAGCATTAGCTTATCATGCTTGTGTTTTCTTTTGTAATATAAATTATACATCCAACCATTTGATTGTTACTAACATGTACTTTCTTTCGTGATATTTGTAGCAACCCTTCTGACCTCTGGGACGACTGCAACAGTAGCCCTGTTGCGAGATGGTATTGAACTGGTTGTAGCCAGTGTTGGGGACAGCCGGGCTATATTGTGTAGAAAAGGAAAACCCTTGAAGCTGACTATTGACCATACTCCAGAAAGGAAAGATGAAAAAGAAAGGTACTCATCAATTACGCTATTGAGATGGTGTTTATAATTCAAGATAGAAATGCAATTCTGTGTTTTTAAATTGGTCCAGTGCCTAAGTTTAAAAGTGACTTGGTATTATAAATATCACATCATAATCTATAACTTTTTCTGGAACAGGATCAAGAAATGTGGTGGCTTTGTAGCTTGGAATAGTTTGGGACAGCCTCATGTAAATGGCAGACTTGCAATGACAAGGAGTATTGGAGATTTGGATCTCAAAGCCAACGGTGTGATAGCAGAACCTGAAACAAAGAGGATTAAGGTCAGAAAGGACTTGCAAACATTTGATCCAAAGAACACGGGCAGGGTTGTCTCCAGCTAGCCTCAGCTGGGAGCAAAAGGAGTTTTAAGAGGGAAGAATTTGTAGAAAGATTGATAAAATGCTATCTTCCTGGCTTAATGTGGTGTTATATATAGGAGATGCACTGGACTGTAAGGTTGGAGATTCAAACTCACTCAGTGCTCCTCAGAAACCCTGTATTGAGTTGTTATGAGTTAGAATCACCTCAACGGCTCTTAAAAACATCAACAACAATGTGTGGTTATTGATACAGCAGTGGCAGCGATGGACTCAATCTAACCATTGTTTGTGAAGGAAACCCAACACGGGGCAACCTTTTGTTCTCTTATACATAAGAGTGCCCTGATTTGGTGCCAACTGTTGTTGTTGTTGTTGTTAAGTGCCTTCGAGTCGGTTCCGACCCAAAGCGACCCTGTACAGGGTTTCCGAGGGTGTAAATCCTTACGGGAGTAGAAAGCCTCATCTTTCTCCCGCGGAGCAGCTGGTAGTTTCGAACCGCTGACCTTAAGGTTCGCAGCCCGATTCGTAACCACTACGCTACCAGAGCCAACTAGATAGTAACTAATACTATGTTGCCTGTCCACTTCTATTTTTGTTTCAGCCCAGCTATGGAATGCTTTTGGTATTATATACATCTACTTCTTTTCCCATGGAGAGCTCATTATCCAGAGTTACTTCTTGGAAGCTGTCCCTGGCTTCTCTTCTTCACCAAGCTAAATATACACTCCGTCTTTATTTCAGTTGTATCTTTTAGCATTCTACTAATTAGTGCCCAATTTCCCTACACTGCCCCAAAAGTCACCCTAGTCAATGAGCTGACATTTTCGTCTCTTTAATCCCCGAGACTGCTGTTGTACCTGGCACCGTATAATGTAGACTTTCAATATGGCAGTGTTTATTTGTGTATTCTCTAACAAATACTGATGTGTGGTGGCAGGGGTTGCATTGCTGTGGTGCTGTTGGATCAGCAGTAGAATGCTTAACCTCAAGGTCATCAGTTCATACCCACCAGCTGCTCCTTGGAAACCCTGTATAGCTTCACTATGAGTCGGAACCAACTCGATGGCACTTAACAACAACTAATCTAAAGGTTAGCAGTTCATAGCCACTCAGCGGCACCATAGAATGAAGCTCTGGCAATCTGTTTCCATAAAGATTACAGTTAAGAAATCCCTATAGAGCAATGCTGCTCTCTTACACCTGTGGGCACCATGAGTTGGAATCAACTTGATGGCAGTATAGTTTTTTTATTTTTCTGGTTTTGGTACGTGCCAGACTTTTTTCCAAAAGAGGCAATTCTATCCCCATTTCTTAGAGAAAACAAATCTAAGGCATAATGATGGCAGTTCATCTATGCTTTCTCCAACCTACATGAGTAATAGAGCTAGACTTCAAACCCAGAACCCCTTGCTCCAGAGTTTTTCTTCTCACCTCTACTACTGCACCGGGCTGCTTCTCAGCATTCAGCTATCTGGCCACTTCCATTGTGGTGCTATAAGTAAATACTACATTTGTCCCTGTTGTTGTTGTTAAGTGCTATCGAGTCAATGCCAACTCATAGTGACTCTGCATAGGGTTTCCGAGGAACAGCTGGTGGGTTTGAACTGCCGAACTTGTGGTTTGTAGTGGTGGTGGTGTGCAGTCATCAGTTCCGACTCATATAGAGACCCTGTATAGGGTTTCCGAGGCTATAAATCGTTACAGGAGCAGAAAACCTCATCTTTCTCCCACGGAACAGCTGGTAGTTTCAAACTGCTGACCATGAGGTTAGCAGCTAGACTTGTAACCACTATGCTACAAGAGCTGTTTTTGTAGTTTGCTGTCCAGCACTTATCCTACAGCGCCACACAAGGATTCCTTGTCCTCAGAGGCTGATACGAAATATTACTACTTTTGCCACAAATACAGGCCTTTTATCCCCAGCCTTGCTTGCTCAGCAGTGTTTGATGAATTACTCACAATGCATAGCCATGCTAGCTGGATTTTCCTACAAGCTCTTATGCAGATAGCCAGTTAGCAAAACAGATAAAATCTTAAGAACTCTATAAAGGTGGTTTATAATCCTTATAATCGTGTGATTTGGTTCGGATTGCAGCTCCATCATGCTGACGACAGCTTCCTGGTCCTCACTACAGATGGGATTAACTTCATGGTGAATAGTCAAGAGATTTGTGATTTTGTTAATCAGTGCCACGATCCCAGCGAAGCAGCCCACGTGGTGACTGAACAGGTAACATAGCACAGCAACTTCTCCCGCTTTACCCCAACGGGGAGGAGAGTAAAGGGTAACACCGGGCATACCTAGTGCAGCCTACAATGACCACCACAAGCTTGAGATTTCTTTGAAACCTTATGTTTTAGCTTCAGTATTACAATGCATTTTTTTGACGCCATAATATTTCCATTTGAAAACTGTTGGAATTGCCCTGGAGAGTTAAGATTAATATGCCAAGGAAAGGCACAGTGTTTGTTCCATGGCTTTGCATAGCCCTTAAAATGATATCAATAAATTATAATAGTAAAACAGATATACACCCCTTACAATGTGTCAGTACAATTCTTTACTTGGTTATTCTGTTATATGTGGAAAAAAAGTTCGTGAAAAAATGGAATGAAAAGATAATGGAATTTTTCCACCAACTTTTGAAGCCCCTTTGATACATTAGTTTGTGGCTGACAGGATGCCTGTGAAATTAAGGAAATGAGCAGATTCCATGGGTAAGCATTTCTTGCTTAACTTGTACTGCCTAGTCTGGTAGATATGTGTGTTCTTACTCAGGAAGGCAGTGATATTTGCAATAACTGCAAAGCATTTCATCACATTATATATCATCATTATGTACCATAATTCATTTAAAAGTTCCCCTAGTCAGCAAATTTCATTTATGTTCACATGTCCGTGTTATAAGGGATATTGGTATAATACACATTCTTACACCAATTTCTTTGTGCCTAACTAGTTCTTGAAGATATTTTCTTCAGCTGTTAGTTTCTTAGGTTAAATTCTTAGAATTAAAATTGTTTGGTAAAGAATAAACAGTATTCGATAGCATTTGATACATTTTCCAAATTGCTCTCCAAAAATACTGTATCAATTTAGTATCAAAACCTACACTAGTATTTATGGTTTTATAGTTTGTGATTCTCCAAAGTCTTATCATAGCTTTTTTTTTTTTAAGCCAAGTTGATAGGTAGAAAAATGAAAATTTAAGTTTAAATTTGTGTTTTTCTTTGTTAGTCAAGTTATTTTGTATAGGTTTGTTAGCTATTTGTATTTCTTTGTGGATTACTCGGTTTTCTTCTCTTTCTCAGGATTTGTTGACATTGGCATGTTTATCCTTTTCATGGTTATTGTCTGAGTTTCCGTATATATTAAGTACATTAGGACTTTGTCCAACATTGCCAATAGTTTTAGGGCTTTTTGTGTGTGTGTGGGGTGGGTGTCTTTCAGTTTGTAAACTTTTTCTCATCAGACATTTTAATCAGCCTTTCCTTCACAATTTCAGCCTCATGCTGGTGTTGTAAAACACTCTTAGTTATCAAGTACAATCCCAAACACTTCTTACAATGCTGACTGTATCATCTGCTATTTGAATCAGTTCCTATAATTGATTTACAATTCTCCAAATGCAGGGAATGTAGTTTATGTCCACTTTTTCATTTATAAGGAGTATAATAAACATTCTTGTAGTTGTATCTTTATGCACACTCATTTCCTTAGGGTATTACTTGTTAAACTAAATCCCTAGACATAGAATTGCTAGGTAAAAGCTAACATTTATCAAGCCTTAGCATGTATTGTTGTTGTTAAGTGCAGTCAAGCTGCTTCCTACTCATAGCAGCTGGTGAGTTTGAACTGCAAATCTTGTGGTTAGTAGTCCAGTGCTTATCCTGCAGAGCCACACCAAGACTTCTACCATGTATTAGGCCTTCCATTAAATGTTTTCCATGCACTTTCTTCTTCAGGATCTGTAGATCATTATGCAACTTAGTCAACTGGTGTTTCTAGTTCCTAAATTGCTACAGTGGAATGTGGTTGTTTTAGGCTTAATAAACCACGAAGGTATTACTACGGGTTAAAGAAATCAAACCATTGTGAAAATGTTGGGTTTTAGTGTTGTTGTTAAGTGCCGTTGAGTCCATTCCAACTCATTGCAACCTTGTATAGGGCTTCCAAGGAACAGCTGGTGAGTTTGATCAACCAACCTTGCATCTCAAGCTGACCTTGCAGTCCAGTGCTTATTCTACAGCACCATACCAGGATTTTCAATAGCTATTTATAAAACTAGTTTGACCTTCCAAAGAAAGGTTGATTTATCTTTGTGTCATTGTTGTTAAGTACCATGGAGTCATTTCTGACTCATAGTGACCCTGCACACAGTGTCCGAGGCTATAAATCTTTGCGGGAGCAGAATGCCTCATCTTTCTCCTGCAGAACGGCTGGTAGTTTCAAACTGCCTACCTTGAGGTTAGCAGCCCAATTTTTAACCATTACACACTGTATCATTGTTAGTCATTGTCAAATTGATTCCAACCCATAGAAACTCCATATAGAACTGAGTCCCTGAGTGGAGTAAAAGGTTAAGTGATGGGGTTACTAACTGAAAGGTTGGCAGTTCAGACTCACCCAGATGTGCCTGGTAACCTGCTTCCAAAAGGTGACAGCCTTGAAAAACCAATGGAATAGTTCTACTCTGCACATATGTACACACTGTAATTTACAATATTGTTCTATCCCTTCCTGCCAAACTTTATAGGCAATACAGTATGGTACAGAAGATAACAGTACTGCGGTAATCGTGCCTTTTGGTGCCTGGGGGAAATACAAGAACTCCGAAATCAACTTCTCCTTCAGCAGAAGCTTTGCTTCCAGTGGACGATGGGCCTGATAGTTTGCTGAGAGTGTGCAGTAGTTTGTTCACTGAGCATGTGAGGAAACTGATAAGAAAAAAAACAGTCACCTGCCCTGGCATGACCCTGTGACTCACTAAATCAGTACACAAGGCAGTGTCAACTTATTAACCATTTATATAGTTGTGTTTCATAACTACCTGTTGTATGTATGATCAACTTAACACACTCAGTGTAAATATATATGTAATTAACTATTGAGTCTCCAAGTTGAATGAATAATGAGTTTCAAGAACAAATGAGAAACGGTTTTGATACACTTGATAAGAATGTTAAGTGTCTAATTTTTAAGACTCCTAGGCAGCTATGGATTTGGGGGGCTGGTTTTTGTTCTTTATTCACTTGAACAGGTTCTTGGTTTCAAGTTTCTCAAAACTTGTCAGTATTTTGACAGCGATTCAATGTGTTCTCTGCAAATGCTTATTTTTAACATCCGTACTGATGAGTAAGTGTAAAAACTGAGGTCTCTGTTACTGTATTTTATATTCTGAACCGCTTACTGGTAAATGTAACAATAAAAAAGAAATCAATTCAGATACTATGACTTTGCTAAATTATATGCATATTTATCAGTAGTGTACTTGTGCATTTCAACTGTGTCTCCAGGGCCTCGCCATCATTCATTCCTATTTTTCTGTAGGAAACAACGCTACATAGATGTGACTGTGTCTTAATCTCAGAAAATGCATAGGCCAGGAGTCCTTTGGTCAAAGGAATATGAAGTTGAATTCTGATGGTATCAAGTATTTTGTATAAAGTTTTCATTTATCTCTAACTCGATGTTCTCTGTCTTGTTTTTATACTATGTGTGTATCACTTTTTGTATAGCGTAAGGCAAGTCGATATCTTGTTAGTAAAAATAATACCACAGTGAATGATACTGCTCTAGACATAAATTGAATTATGTCTTCTCTTTGCTTGTTCCTAAGACTTATGAGAAAGAATAAATCTATGTAATTTAGCAATGTAAAATCATGCTTCCTTTTATCTGCATGTTTTTGCTGTTAAAATGTGAATCTCTAAATGTGTGTTTGCAGTGTTATCCACAGTTTATTTCTGCATAGTATATATATGTGTGTGTGTGTGTGTGTGTGTGTGTGTGTTCTATGTGGTTGTTTATATATATATATGTATATTTTGGAGTAATATAACATTGATGGGAACAAGCCTGCATCGCTCCTTCACCAGCCAGTTAACTTTAAATTATTGATATGAGAAGCTGAGGACAATTTTCTTGAAGCATAGAACAAGTGGTTATTGGCAGATGAGGGAACCAATTAAAAATGCCAGTAGAAAAATGCAGTTGGTAATTTACCTGGAAAATCTAGAAATAGAGTTAGTAGCATGTTGAAGCTACATTGCTATTTGGTAACTTACATATAAAATAACGATGTGAAAATATATTGAATGATAAGAATGACATAGTGTTGTGTTGTAGAAATAATAAACCAAAAAGAAAAATTAAGATGGTATACACCTTCAACTCTTAGTTTCCAGAGTTGATTTTTTTTCCCTTTGGAGCTTTATTTAAAGGCTTGTTAGACAGAAGGAAGAGGAATAGGGGAAAATAAATTTTGAGTTTTCTTGTCTGTATTAATCAGGAATTGTGCTTTTAAAGAAAGCCACACTAAGCAAATATTTTCCAAGGGACTTAGATGAATTGGGGGGGAAAAGTACAGGCAAGAATATAACTTCCTATTAATTGAGGAGCCCAGTAAAGTGATGTAGCAGCCTGCTTCCATAAAGATTCCAGCCTAGAACACCCTTGGAGCCGTTCTACTCTGTCCAAGAGTCGTAATGGGTTGAAGCTGGCGCAGTAGCAATGAGCTTGTTTTTCTATTCATGGTTTGACAAGTGAGGAACCAAAGGTAGAATAAGAACCCTGGGAAATGGTGTTGCTCTTGCATTAAGTGTTGCAGAGAAATACCGAAGCTACATTTAAGTAGTATGGGGAATGTCCAATGACAGACAAACAAAAAGTAAAGCACAAAATGGCATTCTACAAATGCAAATTTCATTGCGTTTTGAATTCTTCCTGTTACTGTCCCTCTCTGTTTTACTTTAGAAATGAAAGTTGGGGAGCAATCTTGCCAAATTCAAAAGTCATTGTTAAGTTGAGGTGTGTGGTCAGGTTTGACAACGAGGGATTTATAGGACTATTGTCTGAGGTAGACTTTGCTCTGCTTCCTTCACTTTGCTTTCTGGAAACCTATAAAACCCTAAACTTGCCAACTTTGACTAAATAATAAAATCTATTGATATTTATGTATTTGAAGCAGCACTGTTGAAGTATAACATAGAATGTTGATTGTTAAAATCCATAAAAGATAAGTACACCTGTTACTGGGCTTCTATTGCTGGAAATTTTGCAAATAGTAGTGAGGGACAAAAAGATGATTCTAAATATAGTTTTTTAAATTATAACTGTGAATTTGTTACATGTATATTGCCATGTAGCTATGGGTATGTCATCAATTATATTCATGTACTAAAATTGAAATTGATTGTATTTATGTTGGACTCTCATTTATGTATAGTGTATAAATCATCTTTCTTATATGTGTTACCAAACTGGATGTGCCGAAATTTACTTGGCATGATATTTTTAAAGCATTGTGATTTTTTACAAGTATATAAGTTCCTCAGTAGCTTATATATTCAAAAGTAAATGCAGTCTTGCTCTCCATAAACTATTCGATCATTCTAGATCTTTATAGTTCTTAAGTCAGTTGACCTTATGAGTGGCACCTAACAACAACAACAAATTTTCTGTAAAAATATGTTTTAGAGGGATCAGTTTAGATTCTTTTTATCCTGTGATGTGAAGTTTCCTGAATATTAACAGTTGTAAAAAGTTTTTTTTTTTAATTACTTATTTTGATCAAAATTATTTTTTTAAAAAGACTAGATTTACTAGTCAGAAAGAGATTGGATGAACCCCAGACTATGAGGCCCTCGGTCACCCTTCTGGTCTGGAGCTGACCTCACCCTCTTGGCCTAATTTTCAGCCAAGAGGTAAATAAGTGCATGGGGGGTATAATCACATTAATAATGTGCTCACCATGGAATGGTCAAGAATTCAAGATTAAAAGAGCAACATGTACCTAAGGACAAAGTTTAGAAGAGTTGGAAATAAATTGGAAGTACAGGAAGGAAGTGGGAGGAGATTGCAGTCGTTGAGATGCAATAAAGTGTATGATTTGTTGAATGTCAAACTAATGATCTCTATAAACCTTCACTCAATTCACAATAAATTGTTTTAGAAAATTACTTATTTTGAAAACTTTATCAGCACATGATCTAAAAAATAGAAAATTATTTGTTCTCGATATGTTGCCTATTTATTTAAAGTGACATTTGATTTCTCTTTTAGAATATTGGCAGAGAGTGAAAAGGCCTGTGCTTACTCTTACAGCTTTCATTTCAATATAAGGAGGACACTTGCTTTCCTTTCTAAGAACAGCCATGGATTTAATTTAATGGTAAATATGACAGTAAGAAAACTCCTGGAGTGGGAGGAGGGGAACAGGATAGTTAATATGTAGCATTGAACAGTTAAACACAAATGCGTATTTGCATTTTCCTTGAGCACCTCCTCATGGTTCTCAGGCCTAGGTCTGTATTAAGTGACAGAAAATTTTGATTTGGTTCCATTTCATTATGTTTATTAGATTCATATATCTGAATGGCTTAAGCAGAAATAAAATGTCATGTCTTTACAAGGTGAACAAACTATATTGTACCATATTGTGATGACCTGACTGCTGTTTTTGGCATCTGGATGAGGCAGATGGATTCCCTGAAAGCACCTGCTGGCTGTTAGATGGTTGGAATGGTCCACTGATAACCAGATTTCAATGTTCTGGGCTGCGAGTTCATGGAGTTTGTCTCAAATCTCCAGATACCTAACACTGGATTCCAATGCAGAATTTTATCCACTCAGTATGTCACAAACTATATGTACTTTCTACAGAAATGCTCTTGTGTACATTTGTTTTATAATTTACCAAAGTACTACTTGGGTGTATGGTGCTTCCCATAGTGAGTGAATGTAACTGCTGCTCTGACAATTTAGTTTGTAAATGTATGTCTTAGAGTAACTGTGAGCAGGCTAAAATCATATATGTCAGTGTTCAGAATACCACTTTAATAAACTACATGCATTAATCACTTGTTTGTTTTCTCCAACTCTGTCTAGTTGGCCTCAAAACGTTCCAACATTTATCATAGCTGGAAATTTTGATTAGCCAATGATAGCTGTTGTCAAAATTAATTGGAGGAATGTTTGAAAACAAAAGTGCATTCATTTATCTATTCAAATCCTTTTGCCATAATATAAAACAAAATTCTTCTCTTTCATTTCCCACCTCCAAAATATATGTTGGTACCTTAGGGGGAAAAGGTCATGCTGAGTTCTGCATTGTTTTTGCTTATGGTTTTAACTCTGATATTTCACTGCAACAGTCTTGCATTAAAAACTAGAAACATGTGTTTGGCAGCGATACTGTGGAATTCAGTACATTATATATTCAACATAAGCTGTTTTTGATGTCTTGTCACTGACTGTAAAATACACTATATTTGGCTTTCCACTGGCACAAGGACCTCTTCTGGAGTGTATCCCCCAAAGGTAGGGTGGTGAGCTTCCTAGTGGTAGAGGTCTGTTCAGTTTTGTTCAAATTCCATACCTAGCACCTTTATATGCTTAATAATGAGAAGGAATCATTAATGTTTGTTGAGTATATTAGCCCATTGAGCTCTACATTAAATCATTTTTTCTTACACTGTTGCTGTGTTAAGTGCCATCAAGTTCATTCTAACTCATAGTGACCCTGTATAAGGTTTCATAGAGCAACTGGTAGGTTTGAACTGATCTTGTAGCTAGCGGTCCAGTGCTTATCCTACAGTGCCACGTCAGGGCTTGAATGAGGCACTGAGACACTTTCTAGATAAAGTCAAATGGATTTAACAATGAAAT